AAAAAAAAAAAGAAACAGAAACGGTGTCCCTTCCTGTGTTTAGAGTTGTGAACGTGAAAGACTCGGAGTTGAACCCTTTGATATTGTAATTATAGGTTAGGTTATATGGTGAATTATACAGGGCAGACCAAAAGTCTCTTCCCACTTATTTCTTTTAACAAAACAATAACTATATAATAATTTTATGAATTTTAAATTACATTTAAGTTCAAGTTATTATTTCAAGCATATAATAAAAAGATTATGGATTTATTTTACAACTAGGAAGTGATTCTTGGCACATCCTTAGTAACAAAGGAGTTGGATTTTTATGTATTAAATGGAAGGATTTGGAAAATGCACGCAACATAAGTAATACACGAAAATATTTAAAATATATAATGTATAGAAATACAAAAGTATAATGCTAATGTATAAAATATACAAAGTATAATACTCCTTGTTACATTTAACTTGTCGTGTGAAACAATCTTCTATCCAGGTTCTATTTTTTTAATTACTTTCAAGCTTGCATCTCAGTGTAAATTAAATAATCAAAAGTTTATCATCCTAATCAGGCATATTTGATGAGATCTGAAGAAGAAGAAGAATTGTTTCGACGTGGAAGAATTAGTTTCAAGTCGGAATAAAATACACGGATCTTGAACGCTCTATGAAAAACAAGTAGTTTTCTGGTTTCGTGCGACCTCGCATGCCTTATTACACTTTCTACGCGATGCTGTATCAGAAAATCGTTGGCGTACTTTCTAAAATAGGCCTGCTAGCGATGTCCTGGAAATCGGTCGCCCCTATCGATCTTCTTCACAAGGAATTCGTGAGAACTGAATCCTTTGTATGGTCGAGGGGGCCTTTTATGGTCGATGCTCGCAGTGCAATTCGATATACAAAGCTTCGTGCGACACGGCCATAGTATTTCATTCCACAACGCTAATACACACACAAGTATGGAGAAGTATGATTTTCTATCACGTTGAGAATCTTCCAGATAATTCGCACAAATTGATGAACAAAATTAACGAAATCAAGGGACTTTATTTTGTACAGCAATATCTCTGATGCGAAAAAAAGGATAGGCAATATACAAGAAATTGCACGTTTTCTCTACCTGATGCTCATAAACCTCTCTGTCGCATACTTCACTCTCTCCCGGCACGTTCTCTTTAATTACATTCAAAAGAAACTTCAAGCTGTATTTACTTGCGTTTTACTCAACTAGAACCACTGGAACCATCCAAGCTTCTAGAAGTAGACGTATCGTCTGTTTCTTCTTCTTTTTCTTCGCACCGTGCACGCAAATAGACACAGGCAAAGAGAAACGGCGGGTAAGAAAGGAAAATTAGAAATTTGTTTCCACTCGTTGTGGGGGGACGTGGTGATATGTAAGAGGATTCTCATACATACTTGTTCGACGATGCAGAAGAACGGTTCTTCG